TCCCTCCCTCCCTTCTTTCCTTCCTTTCTCTCACTGCCCCCCCCACTAGCTCACCAGCTCCTGTCTCCTTGCTCACTGCTGATCCCCCAGCCCCTATCGCGTGCTGGATGGATGCTCAGTAAGTATTTGCTGTGTTAAGACGTGGTTGGCACGTAGACAGTACCTTCGCATAGTGTGACATGCTAGTTATAATTCTAGTTATAATCCTACTTTTAGTTGAGCGAGTGAATGAATGGCTCGTGCTTCCCAAGGCCAACGCACGTGAACCCCTGTGGACGTTCCTCGGCCCTCCGAGAGCCCCCACCCAGAGCGGGCTGGTGATGCCCGCGGTGAGTGTGGCTCCAAGCGGAAGAAGAGAGCGAGAAGGCTGCTGCGATCGCTGCGAGCCCGCGGGCGAGGGGTGGTGGGCGAGGGGGTCCCCGGGGCCCAGGCTGGTCCAGGCGGGGGAAGGAAGGAGGGGCTGGCGGAGGCAGGTGGCAGCGGGAGCGGCACCTCCTGCCGAGAGCCTGGAGCGCAGCTAGATGCTGGGCTTCGCCTTAAGGCCTCCGTGACCCTGGGGACCTGCTCCAGCCAGACCAGGACCTGGTGCGGTTTTATCCCGCAGGGAAGGCTCCACCTACGTCCGCAGCACAGCGAGCCACAAATGTAAGCCCCCTGCATGATTTACATGTCCTGGTGGCCACATTTTAAACAAAGCTAAAAAGTGACGGGTGAAATTAATTTTAACGATATTTTATCCAGCCCCAAATATTATAGTTCAACATGCATTAAATATGAAAACTATTAATGAAATACTTTGGTTTTTTCATACGTCTTCGAAATTGGGGGTGTATTTACACCCACAGCCCAACTCCATGTGGACCGGCGGCCTCTCCAGGGCTCGGGGACCACTCGTGGCCACCGGCGCGAGTGCCACATGGCGCTGGCCCAGGGGTCCCCGCTGCCTCTGAGGACCGCGGCAGTGTTTCCGGGAGAGAGGGTGCGACACAGTGAGTGGGCTCTGGGCTCTCACCCGAGCTTTAGCCCAAGCAGCCCCCACCTTCTGCTCTGGTTTATATACGGGGGCCTTAATTAAGATCTACTTGGGGGGAAGAAGTGTTCTCTTGCTTAAAAAAAGAAGTCTGAAACCCTCTGGTTTATTTCAAAATCCTCAGCTTGAGGTAACTCACCTAGAATGTTTGGATTTGGAACCTTGCACACATTTTAAATAAAAATCCGCATCCAAAAGTAATCGCTGGTGGTTAAAAGTGGCCACGGCTTCCATGCTGCGAAGTGGGCATGCGGTGGTCCACTCGGGACCCC